TGATCACGACCCAGTTAAACCCGCTAATTCTCTCAAATTCTCCAGTCAACCGCGATCCTATCCTCATAATCACCCTCATTTGACATCAGCCATAATCAAAATGATGTTCCATGCCTGTCCTGTTATTTTTGAGACTACCTGCACATGTGTTAGGATACCGGAGGCCGAAAGAAATATATGAGTAGTCAAAAAAATACAGCACTCACGACTCTAGGCGCGCCACGCAGTGTTTAATCATGAAAACGCGCTCTGCTCGATTGTGCCTCAATTCAACCAAAAAGCAGCCTTCGAAAGCACATACGATCCCGCCCGGCCGCAGCCATCCGTCATGATTACCGCAGATCAACACCGGCATGAGCGGGGTGGGGTGGGGTGATCTACGGAGAGCGGGTGTGGATATGGGTGTCGGGACCCGGAGAGGCGGAAAGCGTGCGCGGGCTATGTAGTACATAGAAAGTAGAGTGGGGCGAGTAGGGTAGGCGGATCGGCGCAGCACAGCATGAGCGCAAGCACGCCCGGGAGGATGAGCGGGTTGAGCTCGAGTTCAAGTTGGAACCGGAGGAGGGAACCCTCTCGCGCGGGGAGATATAGAGCAGATGACGGGCCGGAGAAGAGGTCGACGATTCGTGAGATGCGGAGCGGACAGATTCACAGCGAGCGGTACACAACCCTCACAGCGAGCGGTACGCAACCCCTTCCCTCCTCATTCCCGCTACCTTTAGGTACGGGTTCTTATAGGGCGCCCCATCAAAGTGGGTTTTGGCGGACGATCACATTTTCGTCAGTCTTTTTGCGTAAGCACCTATTCTCTCTGCTAAAATTCTCCGGCTTGTTACCAGCCGAGCTGTGTGCCGATGATTGCCGCAGCCGCACTCATAAACATCACTTCAGGCTACCTCTACCCAGACCTACTTAGGGTAGTTTCCCCCACTTAGGTGTGGGGCCTAAGTAGGTCCAGGAGATGGGACCAACCACCAGTGGTGGGTGTATCCGCCACAGGTGGAGCCCTCCACCAAACTGACCGTGGGTGCACCTACATATGTCACATCACGGTGGTGTGGATGCATCCATGCCCAGCTCGTTTTGGGGATTTTACGCCCTCCACAGGCCCCATATCGCAGCCCCTGCTGGCCCCTGCTCTTCCTCCTAGCTCCCCATCTTTTCTGGCTGTACTGGCTGCCAATAGCCTACATTCTGGCCCTTCCTATTACCATTTCCCAGCTCGTTTTTGGGATTTTCCGCCCTTCGTGGGCCCCATATCGCGTCCTCTGCTGGCCCCTGTGTTTGCTCTGGCCTGCGCTCCATCCTACGCTCTTGTTGGGCTCGTTTTGGGGATTTTGTGCCCTCCACTGGCACCACTTTGCACCCCTCCTGGCTCTTGCTCTTCATATCTATACCTACCCCCACCTGTACACATTCTCCCTTGTAATCACCTGTATATCCTTGCCTACACTTGCCTACACTCGCCTTGCTCCCTTATATTCTCCCTTACGCTCACCTTCATACCCTTGCCCATCCCACCGTCAGACGTTCCTTACACTGGCCTGCAGCTTCCTTCCCTTCATATACACCCGCCTTGCTCCCTTATATCCTCCCTTACGCTCACCTTCATACTCTTGCCCATCCCACCGTCATACGTTCCTTACACTGGCCTGCAGCTCCCTTCCCTTCATATACACCCACCTTGCTCCCTTATATCCTCCCTTACGCTGACCTTCATACCCTTGCCCATCCCACTGTCAGACGTTCCTTACGCTGGCCTGCAGCTCGCCTTTTTACCTGTGCTGCATCCACCCTTATGCTTGCCTTTGCATCCTTGCATCATTACCTATGATTGTGTTAATATGCCTCTTATATCATCAACCCAATAGTCGGGCTATGCTTGCAGGCTCTCAAACTTGTCTACTTGTTGCCCAGGACTCTTTCCGGCCTGAAGATGATCAGAAATACATATTTAGTGGATGCATCCACCGACTGGTTGGAGGTAGTCGGTGGATGCATCCACCAGTCTCTTGTTAAATGGATGGATGCATCCACCCAATGCACATGGATGCATCCACGGCGCTCACATGGATGCACCCACGCTCATGTGGATGAATCCACCGCTGATATTTGTAATGATGTGGATCCACCCACCACACCCATGTGGGTACCTCCACCGCTGATTTTTTTTACAACGTGGATGCCTCCACAATAATGTGGTTGCATCCATATGCCATACAGTGGTTGCACCCACTGGTTGTTTGGTTCCCATCTGGATCCACCCACCTCTATATGGGCCCACCCACCTGTTGTTTGGTTCCTGTCTGGATCCATCCACATGTCTCCCAGAAACACATGTGGATGCATCCATGATGTTATTTTTTTTACTCTGGATGCACCCACATGGGACCCCAGACACCTGTTCCATTATTATTATTATTATTGTATGCTCCCCCAGATCTTTCCTTTTTTGTTCAATTTTCAGCCCTTATAATACTACCTTCAAATGTAGAATCTGTTTCCCTTGCTTACTGTATTTTTTTCCCTCATGTTATTGGGTGCCCAAGTCGAAATTACCTTTTTGGGACCGTAGCGGTTGTTGTGGCCTGTTTGCATCACACCCCGCTTGAGCGAAATATTTTATACACTGGTAAGTTATCGTCGGTGAGGCAATTTTGAGCCTGTTTATCATTATCTGGACGGGTGGGGTATGTTTCCTCCCCTTACTGTATTTTTTTTCTTTCGTTGTTGGGTACCCAAGTCGGAATTATCAGGAAATTATTTTTTACTCTAGTAGCTTTTTGTTAGTCAACCGATTTTGAGGCCTCATATTATTACCTTCAATATTCCAGGACGTTCCGCTGGCTTGCTGTATTTTTTCTGTCCTTCGCTCGGTGCTTCCAGCCTTCCACTCAGAATTCCCATTTTGGGATCATATCGGTTGTTGTGGTGTATTTGTCTGATGGCGGCAGGTGGCGTTCGTGTTGATGCCCAAGTCAAGTTGGCTCCCCAAATTGAAATATAACGAAACTAAACACAGGGGGACTAAACATTACCAAGTGGATTCCGCAGAGCAAAAAAAAAACCAAGTCAAGAAACGGAAAAGTAAAGGAAAAAAGAGTAAAGGCATTGGATTGGAGGAAAGAAATACAAGTGATAAGAGAATTACTCCCGCTCAACCCCCATAGCCCAGCGCTGAATGCTATCAGAAGCCGACTCATGCTCCTCACCTGACAGCGAGATTTCCTGAAGATGACGCTGCTGTGCTGGGTTGAGGACAAATACCGTAGCGGGCAGGCCTTCATCTAAATACAAGTTAGGATTTCCACGCCAGTACACAAAGAGAAACTCACCATCAGTCAGGGCGTCGAGCAAGGAGGGGAGGCTGGAGTGTGAGCTGAGGGTCACAGCAGTAGTGCCGGAGGTGCTGTGCAAGTCGTTGGTGGAGGCGTCAAATATGTCATCCACACAAGTGCCGTCGGTCTCAGAAGACGTACAACGTCCCCCGCAACGTTGGCGGCATCCTCGACGGCGTCTTGAGCACCTGTGTCGGCCGCAGCGGTGTTGGCAATGTCAGCGGCGACGGCGGAATTGAATCCGTCCAACCCCGGGCCCCAAGCTGTATGGGAAGATCAGCACTTTGCGAAGGTGGGCAGATGGGGCTGACGTACGGACCAGCCCGCCGCGCGGCAGGACGTGGAAGAACAGGGAACCCCCGTCAGCGCGCTGGACCCTGACTGAGAACAATTAGTGGGCTTGGAGCTATGTGGAAGGGGGAAAACACACCATATTCAGTCGCTTTGGGTCCCAACAGACTCATAAAAGCCATATCCGCTGCAACGGCAAGTAAGCGGAGTTAAGCGGGCAGATGGCTGGACAACATACACATCGTGATAAGTTCAGCGAAGGCGTGGGGTGTGTCATGGACGTTCTCGAGCATTTGACGCACTGTTAAGGGATGAACGTGAGCAGGAGATCGAGAAGCTCAACACAAAGACTCACTAGCAGCCTCGTCGGCCCAAAATTCCTCCATGCATTTGGCAGCCACAGCGGCATGGCCGAAAGCCTCCTGTGGTGTCCATGGCCCCGGACCTTGATGATTCATGTCGGGGGTACCGGCGAAAGAAGGCGTGGGGGGGCGTTGGCATGAACCGGCGGATCTGCATCAAGTTGTAGTTGCGACGATGCTCCTCCAATTTGCGAAGGAACTCCCCGTGGTACATAGCGCCGCCATACAGGAAGTCGGGCATGATTGTCTGCCTGAGTCGGGCGATGCGGCAATTTGCGGGCGGGGTGGCACTGCCGGCGCGAGGAACAGCGCGAGCCGCCCGGGATGCACGGCGGAAGAAACGGGTGAGCTGGGCTTGAGTGGGCATCAGGATGGAGGGGACTGTGAAATGAAGCGCACCTGCAGAGCCTTCTATCTTTTATGACCTGTGCGAGTGAGTGGCAAGGCCACCCACCGACGCGAGGCCACCATGCATGCCCATTCAGGCAACTCTTTGATCGTGCTTCATCCCGTCGGGAATAATGCGCAAGTGGATCCTGACCGCCATTGGCCGTCGACTCATCTATCCAATTATCAGTCGACGCTTAGATCACAGCCGGCCACCCACCATTTTTCACTGCTGGCCACAATGTGGATTAGCTCCGGCCTGTTCCATTGGTATAGGATGCCAGGCTGCATCTTTCTTTATTCACTCGTTCCCGTTACTTTACTGCTAATACATACCTTTCTACATACGGGACATGGTGGTTAGAAGCAAGAGCAGAATAAGCGCTGGAACAAACAGGCGCACTACTTGATGTGATGAGTTTCGGCAGAAGTTCGGCATGTCAAAGGGCCACGTGACCGGTCGCATCGCGTCCCACCACTCAAATAAACTGTACTAACAAAATATTCAGCGAGATATTTGCACTGCGCTTCCAACTGAGGTACCAGGGTGTTCTTAATTATAGTACAATAGACTATAGATGTTCAATTCAGCATGGCCACACTAAAATAAAATAAAAAGTGAAGCCCTGGGCATGACTCGAACATGCGCCGGTGCATGAAACATAACTGTCAAATTCACATATCAGTTGGCACCGCTCTTCCACCTGAGCTACCAGGGCATTCCTATTTCTGCCCCACTGAATTATATATGGTGAACAGGGAACGCACATACTATATAAAAAAAGACCCACGTCAGCTGGACGTGTTGCGTCATGTCAAGACGGACGGTGCGCCCCATTGTTGCCGCACTGCATGGCCGCCATTGGCTGTTTATCATTCTTTGCCCCTATTTTTTCACTATTCATACACAGGTATTATTTCTACATACAGGTCGTTGTGGTTAGAAGGAAGAGCAGAATAGATGCCAGGACAAACAGGCGCACTACTTGATGTGATGGGTCTCGGCAGAAGCTCGGCATATCAAAGGGGCACGTGGCCGGTCGCGTCGCTTCCCAACAAATAAACTGCATAGGAAAAATGAAGAACAAGTAATATATTTACGTGTCAAATAGACCATTATCATCCCAAATTGACTCCCCCTCGTCATCCTCAGGCCCTCTATAATTATCCGCACGTTCAACGGCTGTTAAGACTTGAAACAAGTCGTCGTCTTCGTCGTCGTCCATCCCGTCGTCGGAGTCGGAGTCATATCCACCGCCCCACGACGCCGTCACCTCAGCAATCTGACAGCCAAGAAGCTCCTCCCTAGTGGGTCCCCATTCCGGAAGACTTTCGTCGCTGAATGCAAGTTGGTCGAGGGATTTCTTCCACAGGACGCACAGCTGAAGAAGTTCTTGGCGTCTCAGTTGGAATTGATATTGGATGGCCCCTCGATATGTCAGTCGAAATACACACTAGGAGCGAAATACATACCCTGAGTTATGGCGATGACCCCACAAACCGCCCTCCACTCGGTGGCAAACCACATTCGCAAATGCCTCCGCTCCCTCAGCAATCGCGGAGCCTCTTCCTTGCACCGATCCTTCTGCAGCAAGGCTCGTATATCGGCTCGCACCTTCTCGTCGCTCAGCCAGAGGGGGGCCACCCCTTGCTCATCCCTATCCAATCCCAAATCCTGCCAGATCGCGTCATCCACGTCTAGCTGGTAAATCCCCTTCGCGGGAACAGGAATGGGAGCGATCGCGCCTTTAGGCGCTTTCTTGGTGTCGATGAGCGCCTTTATTTCGACGCAGGACTGGTTGTACAATTTAACGAGTCGGGCGATGTTAGGTTCGCGGCGGGTGATTGCTGCACTGGCGTGCTCGTTCCGTTGATTCTCTAAAAATAAAATGTCAGTTACTGGATGGATTGAGCTCAAATTTACGATCCCGCAGCTTCCCTCGCAATTGCTCCTTGAATATCTTGGTGTTCATCTGCGCTGAATAATACTGGCTGTGAGCAAGTTTCTTGAGTGCAGTGGAATCATCAATTCCCAGCATACGCTGAAGACGGAGAGCCCTCTCCTTCTCCTTCCACGCTTTACGAGCATCCTCGAGATGCAGCTCAGCATATAAGCGAACTTTCGGCGTGCAATCGTCTTCTTCCACAGATTCCTCCAAGGATGCCACCCGCTCGAATAAGACCTGCGCCTTTTTACGAGCCACAAGGACTTCTTCGACTGCCGCTTGTCCCTGGTTTTTCGAGCGTCCTAGTCATTGAATGAGCCCAGGTTTTAATGTAATTCGAGGAAAACTTACGTAGTACTGGCTTCGTCTGAACAGCCACTTGGTTCGCCCATTCCTCTCGCAGCACGTCCTCTGCTACTCCACACGCCTCCAGTTCTGCGAGCGCGTCCCGAAGCTTGCCCTCGCAGTGATGAGTTCGTCGCAGGAGCCATCCAGCGAGACGTCTCAAGCTTGTTTTGTCCGCATGCTCAATTTGTATATCGATGGTGTACAGACGGTGGTGGTACTGTCCAGTACGTTAGTCCTAGCCCTCGAAATAACCAAGCCCACGCACCCCGGAAACTCGCAGATATGCGATGAGCTTACTGATCGAATGCCAGAAGCGTTCACACCCTTCGCCGTTGGTGAAGCCGAACCCACAGCACTTGAGTGGATGATAGATCATTTGACATGGCCATCGGTGGCCAAACACGTGAAAAACCAACACAGCGAAACGGATGTGATCCAGGTACCTGTCCAAAAAAACCCCACTTCACGCAAGAGCGATGTAGCTGGCCCGCTATATCATATAGCACGCCAACTCAAATGTTGGCGGGGAGGTGCTGGAAAAGCATCTCCAACAGCCACAAGCACGTAGTACTGCTTCTCCCCAGCACTGCGCATGTTGACAAGCCACAACACTCGGTCGTGGCAGCACAGTAGTCCCATGATCCCGGTGTCGTCAAAGAACTTGGTGCTAGCTTTCTCCCGCTTTTCGTCTGCCGCCTTGAATGACGATTCACACTTGTCTAACACCGACCAGGGAACTTTCAGATTGACCCCCTCGTAGGAGTCCTCCTGTTCCTCTACTCGCGCCTGCTTCTTCGTCTTCGGTGCCCGAGCTCCGGGCGGGCGCACCTCCTCTACATGCGCTCCCATCTGGTTGGCGGTTGTCTCTGGCACGAATACACTGTTGGGATGCGTGCGAGGTGGACCCCGAGCACCTTTGCGTCTGCGCTTCTGGGTAAAGCACACATCTGCGCATACGTTGACGTCGACATGCTGAGTTGGGTCATGCACGAGCCCACCGAAACAAGCTGGGCATCGGCTGATGAGATAATCGCTGGGCCAGGTACGAGGCAGAGGTTCGGGGAATGGATTAGCTGGGGGCGTGCTGTTGTTGTTGTCGCCTTCCCCAGGGGACACGCTGGCTTGTCTGTGGCATTTTTGTAGGGAAGGAGCCGGTGGCACGGGTCGACCTGTTGGTGTGGATGGGATGGATGAAATTGGGGTGACTTGGGAAGGTGTTCTGGGACGTGTCAGTGTAGAGGATCTCGAGCGAGGACCCTCCCCCACTTCGACTTCGTCGTCGTCGGTAGGATTGGCTGCCACATCTTCAGCTCGCACTACGTCCCGTCCAGCAAGTAGCAGTTTGTCCACTGCAGCGTTCACGGCATGCTGCAGACTGATATACCACTCTAGTGCATTGCCAAAGTGGACACCGAGGGTATCTTGTGATATATGAGCCCCACAGCAAGCCAACACGGTGTATACACGTACTTTGGTCCGTAACTTATACCCACGACTGGCAAGAAAACCTTCCAACGTATTGCAAAATGCCGTGTTATTGGGTGGTAAATTGAGGAATAGTCGCATTACGAAATCCAATACCTGGAGGTCGACGGCGAGACTCGGATGTTGCGGGGAACAGGGGAAAAGGTCGGCCTTCAGTAGCTGCATTGGCGCAGGGGAGCATGTGCACACGCCAAGACGGATGTGCTCTATCACTGTGTTCGTATGTTAGATGTGCTATGTGCGAGCGAGACTACCCATGTACTATTCATACGAACCAAAGCAATGTCGAGCGCCCGCCTACTGCAATTGCAGGTCGTCGCTGTGTCTAGCGCGAGTCCCGCCGTGTCTCGGAGTGACCCCGTGTCGTACATTAGTTTGATGAATACCGGGAAGAGCATCGGGATGACTTCAAGTGTCCAGCGCTGCCATTGTCTGCTGCGCTTCAGAGTTAACGGGCGGGGTGTGGGAGGGTTTTGCGAGGGGAGATAGTCGGAGGTCACGAAGTCGTCCTCGCTCGGGAGAGTGGCATCAGGATTGCGGCGGGAAGGGGATGACTGCGGGGAGGCCTCCCCCCATCCGAATGGCAGCGGTCGGACCAGGCGCTGGCTAAGAGTCTGGTCATTCGCGCAGTAGACAAGTGGTTCCGGAGCGGAGGCCCTAGGTCTGACCAGCAAGTGCGCCGGCCGAGGAACTGAGAACAGCGCCGCATGCGCTGTGGGTCCACGGGCGTTCTGCACGCGCTGAAGCTCCTTGTCTGTGAATCGCATTCTTCTAGCGGGGCGGGGTTGTGAGAAATAGCTATTGCAAGGCCAAAGCCACTCACTCGTGTCGTTCTTTACGCTAATCACTTCGAAATTATTTTATTGTCTTTGTGCCACCCGCTCAAACGCGACGCGACTCGACGCGCCTTGAGATTACTATCTACACTATTAAATTCTACTGTACGACTAAGATTTCTTTGATACGTTACTGCTACTTTACATGCACTATGTACATCTACTTAGGGGTACATGGAAGTCAGAAGCAAGAGGAAAATAGGCGCCCGGGCCAAACAGGCGACCACTTGATGTGAAGCGTCTGGGCAGAAGTTCGGCATCCCGGGACCATCACGTGCCATGGACGCATCGCGTTCGTTGAGGTCACTCGATGTGTCCCACGCATCGTGATATTTAGAAAGTAGGATCGGTGTATTATATGACATTATATATACAGTTATTTTTGACTACCGAGGGTATATACAATTATTGCGACTACTGGGGGAATGGCATGGTAGCACAATCGCCGACCGCCTGATTGTCCGACAAGCACAGTCTCAGGATGTGGAAATAGATGGGGCCGCTGCCATCCGCGCATCTGACTGCGACCACGTCTGGGCCGTGGTTGTGCGTAATGTATGGCTGGGTCTGCGCGTAAGAACCAACCAGCGAGGTGTTTCCCTCGACGTCCGGACCAAGCACAACAACGCGCGCAATGCGCCTCGTGATGAGGGCACCGTCCGTCTGCCGGACAGGTTTGATGCAGGGCGGGGGGAAGGCGATTTTGTCAAGCCTCGAACCAACGCGCCAGACGGTGACCTGTTTTTTGATGTCTGGGACAGCGCTCAGCATGACTACCCCATTTTTTCCTTCGGCGCCGCGGGCTTTGGGAGAGACTTTGATATCTCTGGTGGGCAGGAAAGCGGTGACCCCTTCCATCGTCACATCGAGGCGCTTTCCCACCAGACCCGCAATCCTGAGCCATGTGCCGTCGCGTTCGCCAGGCAGCCGTTGCTCCTCAGTACTCCGACGACTTCCTTTGTTGCTCTTGCAAAAGTTGCTCCTTCTCGTGTTGTTGTTCTTCCTCGGTGGAAGACCTGAGACCCCACTCGGGATCACTTTCCTGGGGGGCCAGTGGCGGCGTGGCAGCGCGCGGTTGTTGGAGAGCGGAGGAAGTCGTCAAGC